TTTTTTTTTTTTTTTTTTTTTTTTTTTTGAAGTTTCACCCTAATATATATAATTTTTTTCTAAAGAAAATTCTGACTTAAAATAATGATAAAATGAAAGAAATAAAAAGTGAAGGCGGTACTAATTAAATAATAAAATTGTATGAAAAAACATAAGTATATTTTCCGGGATGAAGTAAATATGGGAGAGACTACTCAAGTTGTTTGAGCGATAAATTTTTATTGAATGATAAACTCAACCCAACTTATTTTATCTATAAAATATTCGAATCAAGTCGGTTCGAATTATTCAGATCATTTATTTAAATTTTTGTTATAAAATATTAATACGTAAAACATGTATTTATTTATTTTAAGATTTGTAATTTAATTTTAATATATTTTTAAAAATTACATTCTAAGATTTAAAACTTAAAAATTAATTTTAGGATGGAAAATAAGTAATCAAAAAATAATTATGAAATTAAATAAAGTTAAAATAATATATATATATATATATATATATTTTCAAGAAAATTATAATAAAAATTTTAGTACATTCGATAAAAATGGTCGATTTCTATCGTCGGCTATCTACTTAATTTTAAAATTTATTAAAATAATCAATTAAATTAAGACTAAAATAAAAATAAAATTTAAAGTAAAAATGATACTTTAACATATTTATTTTTAATTTTGAATGAGAAAATGTATCATTTTGAGGAATTTCTTATTAATCCATTCAAAATCATTAACATATTTAAATATTTATGAAATATTAAGAAAACTCTCACAAAATTTAATTGATTTAAATAGAATACAAATAAACATTTTAAACTCGTTAATATTAACCGTTTATATTTGGACTAACACAATTTTTATCGAAAAAATAGATTATTAATGAATTATGTTAATTTAATTATTATTTTAATTTTTTAATTTTTCGATATCTAAGGTCGAGATTTAAAGCTCTAACTAGTTAATCAAGTGTGCCTATTAATTATCGTTAAAATATATTATAATGAAAAATAATAATATATTTTATTAATGATGAGTTGTGGAATATTGAAAAATAATAAAAAGCATTAAGAAGGCCAAAGGTAAACTATTCCATTAATAGTTTTAAATATTTAAATATCGTTTTTCACATTCATGGCTCCCCTACCCTCGATGCAAAGTTGAATAATGATTTTTTTTTTTTATTAAAAAAAAATTTATGGACTAAAATGAATCTTTAAAAATTCACGGTATTTGCTTGCAATGCCACCGTCATTCATACATGGGTGTCTTGTTTTTACCTGAAAAATGATGTAGCACACAGTTTGAGTATTTCGAAGAATACTCAATAAGTGACCCCACTATAAGAGTCATGCTAAATGCAATCACATGCAAATATGCTCGAAGGACCTATGTCTTTCTCATCTTAGACTAGGAGTGACCTCTAGTCCGAACTACTATGGATGTGCAGTACTTCCCTACACACAACCCATAGGTACGAGTGTGAATTCCCCGGCAGCTCGCACACCCTTGGACCCTCTCTGGTCAATCTAGCTATCTGTAGCAACGTCCGGAGGTCAGCAGAACCCTTGGTATCATGCTCACCATGAACACTCTCATCATCATATTATGCACGTTCGCACTCATCATCCCTCTAGTTCTCATCATAACATCTCTTCTAACACAACCCTAGTGTTACGCTTAGTAACACATGCTTATTAGATATTTATATTAATATACTCTAGGGTTGTGTCCTAGGTCAATCTATCGACCTGATGCAATATGACATTCATCATCATACAACATACTTATTATGGAAAACATCATCATATTAGGGTAAACATCATACAAGACATCACAATCATCATAAAGTCATCAAGTGCATCGAGTACATCAAGTACATCATACATTATCATATAACGCACATACGTTTTCGTACATCATCATCATAGCTCATACATCATAATACATCATCATATAACTAGTGTATGACATTATACGATATAGTTCATACATCGTAAACATAAATAACGCATGCATCATCGTACGTTGTCTCAAATAATCATAAATCGTAACTCATACAATTTCTATCCTATCCTATAGTAAAACCACTTACTTGGTTGGCTTTAGCCAAAGTTCTATTTAGCTCCAAACTTGGTTGCTTTCATTCTGAATTCGTTCTCACTTATATCGAGCCTTCACCTATTTTGAATATAAACTTAACTAACACAATAAAAATCGAATTCCATGTTTTCATAGTTTTTGTGTTGTGTTTGGTAATAAAACTTTTAAAAAAATAATTCAACCAATTAAAATACGCATGTTATATTTGGGTTGGATTCGGGTTATTACTAAGTATTCCGTGCTCGTGACATATAACATGTGTGAGGTTTCATAATTTTAAATCACGATATATGGTTATGATGTACATCATTCTTCCATTATCTTTATGAGACATGCATATTGTGTACATAACATATCTTTTATTATTGTCATACATGTCTCGTCAATATCTCATAGGCATAATCGTAAACGTGGTATCATAATAAATAGACTAACACAATGGAAATACATGCATCACATAACATCAAAAAGTAGCACGTAAATAGACCATAGGGTATGTGTCATTAATTTTCTACCCGAATTTTTTGGGTTAAAATGAGTGAATTCTAAGATATTCTATGCAGTGATAGAATAAAATAGTAGACAAAAAATAAAATGACGTGTGCAATATATTATCACCTTGTTCAAACTAACTCGATTTTGTCTGATATACATGTTACAAACTCCCAATAACTAAGGTTAAATTACACAGAGCGGAATGATTTTCAATAATATCGTTGAAATTTTTTTTCTATTTAAATAAAGGGCGAAAAATTGATGTTGTAGCTCACGAGCAAAAAAATGTCAACTTACAAACTAAATCGATTTTTTAATTTTTCAAAAATTCAATCCAACTTAGAAAAAAAAAATGTATATTTAGTTATGAAATGGACTAAAAAATTTTAAATTGGTTAAATTAATAAAAATACCTTTAAACTTTTAAAAGTTTCAATAATACTTTTAAATTTTATAAAATTAAAAAAATAGTATAACCGTTAGATCGGGATTAAAAATATTTTAAAATTATTTAAAAATATTTTAAAATTATTTAATTTTTTTTATTAATTTAACTAAATATTTATGCAATAATAAATATGATCATTAATTAAAGAGGGAATTGAGAGTAAAAAAAATAATAAAAATATACATTTTTGTGTCTTAGGTTACTATTTAATCCTTAAAATTTAAATAGTAATTTAGTTCTTCAATTTTAAAAATAAAAATAGTTGTAAATTTTTTCTCAAATAGTTTAGTCATTTTAAATGATTTATAATATTTATCCATTTTATATTATTTTTATTATACCATTATATTTTCTTTTTCTTTTTTCTCTTAGCAATCATTAAATATAGATTTAAAAATATGTACGTCCATAATAATTATTTGCACTAACCAAAACGTCAAGTCGATGATCCACTCTCCGCTAAATTACACGTTTTCTCTATGTCTGGTGTATCTTCTCTCGAAATCGACCATTCAAAGATGTTCTCTGATCTTAGTTAAGCACTCATAATGTATAGCATTTTTTGAGATAGGTTCAGAGATTCTATTAAGAGATATATTATTTTCAAATATTTTAAACAAAATCTTAATCCAAACCACCGTACGTAGTTAAACAAAATTTTCAAATATGGACCGTGCGCACAAGACTCCTTGAAATGATCCCATGATCCCAAATCCTCTCATTTTATCTTGACACTTTGTCTCTCGACTTCTTTTTTGGAGCTCTAAAACAAAATATATCATTTGTTCGACACTTGAATTCTATAGATATGACTAAGTTAAGAGTATGACTTTGATACCATGTCAGTAATCACAGACCTCCACTACGGTATGATATTATCCACTTTGATCATAAACTCTTATGGCTTTGCTTTTGGTTTTCCCAAAAGGTCTCCTACCAATCAGATAATGAACTTATAAACTCATAATCTTCTCCTTAATTAGTCAATGTGGGACAGTATGAAACTATTGTGTACATCATTTCATTGAACCATGATTTTTAATACGAGACTTCATGCATGTTGTATGGCACACAAGCATGAATTACTTCTCCAGTATGTTACGTATAAATGCGTATACCACAATATTATGCTTGCTCCTTTTTCTTTAGTTTTCGGTAGTGTGAGTGAGCACTAGCCCCATAGTAAGACCTAGGCGGAACGTATATGAGCTCATATTTACAAGGACAATTACCTTCTTAAAAATGTTGATGTACATACAAATGAAAATGAGGGCTTATCGACCATGGTTGGGCATTGCTGATTGGATGCCAACTAACTATCACGTAGAGTAATATCTCAAGACGAGCCAACTAAGCGCCCAATGATTTGGAAAATGAAAGAAAAAGAAAAGTTATGAGCAATTGAGTTAAATGTCCAACACGTTTTAAACGATGAAAATGTTTAAGGCATCCCACTCGAAGAAATTGTT